GTAGACGGTTGCACGGATTTTGGCGATTTTTCCGATTTTTTTGGCGAGTAATACAACTTATGGTAAACCCATTGCTGGATAAGTTATTTATGGTAACCGATACTTTGTTGTCATTTTATTTAAAAAATAATGCGTTTTATTGTGCATAAATTCCGTGTTTTTAAATATTATTTATTTATGGCTTTTAAATATTAAAAATCAATTTAATTTTGCATTTTTATTTGAAATAAAAATTTTATTGTTTATCATATTTTATGAAATTTTATGTTGTGGATGATGTAATCAATGACGTCACCTTACTTTAAAAGTAATTGGTTTTAATATGTATAAATTTAATCTAATGTTTTAAACATTATTTATGGCTCTTAAATATTAAAATACAATTTAATTTTGCATTTTTTTAAAAAATGATTTTATTATGTATGAATTTTTAAATAATTTTAATTCTAGGCGTGATGTAATAAGCTCTCTGATTGGTTATAGAATATTTGTGCATTAACAGTGATTGCTCCCGTGCCGTTTTCCCTTAAGGCTTAAATTGTTATCTAAAATTAATTTTTATTTGTTGATATTACTTTCAAATTTTTTTCATTGATAAAAATTATGATTCCGATTTTTTTTGTGGTACTCAATAACAACAGGTTAAAGACTCAAAAAAATGTAAGTACATATTTTCTTTTATTTTATAATTGTATACTTCAATTTTTGTTTAAAAAAATTAAATACACTATTTTCAGAAATTGCTGAGATAATTATTGTCCACATATGTTTTAATGTTAATTATATTCTATTAACGTATTTTAAAGTATTTGAATTTAATAATATTCTAATTCTTTTAAATGTTGGTATGAGGGTTTTTAATTCGATATTCAATTTCAAGTAATATTTAATCTAATTAAACGTTGGCCCAATGTTTTTAGCGGTGTTTTTATTTTAAAAGTAATAATAAACTTAATTTAGTATTTTATACTCATAGTAAATGTATTTAATTACATTTGCCTGCCATCTTAAAAAACGACAAACGACATTTTCAACAAAAATTAATTCATTACTTTTAACGATATTTATTTTTTTTTAAGTTTCGATTACTTTACTATGCGTAAAAACAGCGTTTTTCAAGATGGCTGACCATTGTAAAAACCGCGCCAACGTAAATCGCCAAAAATTCGTGCAACCGTCTACCAAAGTAGTACCAAAGCAACTAATAAATATTAGCATTTTGTAGCTGTAAGGTTATTTTGTATTCAGTTTATTAAGCAAGAATAATAATTAAAAAAAAGGATTATGTTAATTATTTCTGTATATCCTAAAACACTTTTTTTACAAAATGTGTGTATATAAATGCTAAATTACCATTATTTGTAATAAAATGCCTGAATAGAAAGTTTTGATTCAAGTCCTAAAATTATATTTTACAAAAATTCTTCAATAAATTACCTTAAAACATATAATTATACTTATCTACTCAGACAGAAATTGTTTGATTCATTTTTAAACATTTTAATATGCATTAAATATTTTCATTGCAAAATTATCTACAGTTTTCTTGAAAACTATGCAATGTGATTTGTGAAAATACGAGCTAATTATGATTTGCGATTTTCCGACTCCTTTTTTTTGTCTTACCATAACATTCCCTAAATCTATGTAAACAGAAAATATCCCTTTTCGTCCTTCAGGAAAATTCCCTGAGTGGGTTGCAGGGTTGTAACGCTTGTCAGAGTTACTATAATCTGGCACACATGCAGTCTCTTCTGAGATGTCAACAAATTGTTAAGGGCCGGTTATCTGAAAACTGCCAAAGTAATATATTTATCTTTTTTAATATTTTTCAATATTGTTTTAGTTACCTGAAAATTGAATAGCCCACCAGGGATCAAGTGAATAAAACCATTAAACAATATTAATTTAACCTGGCTGGTAGTATGGTATTTTTGAGGATTTTCTATTCCACATGTGTAACATGGATGTAAGCCAGTTTTTTTTTTTCATAGTCTTCTATGTAGGCATTCTTTCTTCAGGCAACTAAATATGTTTTTTACCTTTATCAGTCAGCCTGTTGTAACGATTTGGCTGTATATAAGTTTTGTGGCTTTCTTCCATCATAGGCAGTAGACACATTTTTTAGAAAGCCCTCCATGAAACACCTTTCTCATCTAATAATGGTAACAAAGCCTGTTGTGGCAGATAATTCAAGATAGCCTCTGTTGCCATTTGTTTGCTTGTAAAATGAGGAAATTATAGAAGAATTAACATGGATATTTGTTATCATAAATTAAGTAAAAGTATATTTTAGAGTACCTCTTGGCAGTTTTGGGCAGTGCATGGATACCGAGTGTGTGCAATTCTTTTACTAGTTATTTTGGCCTGCGTAGCGGCGATTTCTGGCGCAAAAATTGCCGCTATGCAAGCCAAAATAACAAGTCAAAGAACTGCACAAACTCAGTATTCATGTACACATCGACCTATTTTCACTTTAAAAAAAAATCCCCGAATTGCACAAAAATGGCATTATGCATTTCCTTGACTTTATCCATGATTATCAACCTTTATCAACCTATTTTCACTTAAAAAAGCATCAGAGAATCGCACAAACTATGCTTTACGCCTTGAGTTTACCCATGTACAGATTGATATATTTTCACTTTAAAAGTCAAAGGAGCACCCAATTCTACAGTAGAGGCAAGCAAAAAATACATAATCTCAATAATTTACATTTTAAACCAAACAATAAAATAACACACAAAAAAAGGAAAAAACTGTTACGTATTTTAGCACTACACAAAGCCCCCCTTACCTTATTTAGAAATTCGCTCGTCTTCAGTCTGTGGTACACAAAATTCCTTAACAGCATCCAAAAACTTCCTAAAATTATCTGAACTATAATCCGTATACCGGCATCGCCACAGAAATTCACAAAAATAAAAGAGTCAAAAAATACTACGTAGTTTCGGCTATGGCTACTAGTAACTTTCTTTACACATTAATTCACAATTATGCACTTTCCCCTTTCATCCAAATCGTACAGACCTTCAAATTAATCACTACATTCAGCCATTGTACCATCTAAACAAGAAACAAGCAAATACTTCCTAAGCAAACACACCAAAAAGACCTTGAAAATCCCATGATCATTTCCCAAATATGCAAAATTCAAAGGATTCGTAAGGGGTTTCCATAATATTCAACTACTCAGGTTACCATAAATGATACGACGACTTGGCGATAAATGAAACAACTTCACGATAATAGAAGGGGTACCTTAAAGTTAACTCTAACCCATAAATTATTTAAATAGTTTTGTATGTATTCATTGTTTGTATGATTGTAAGTTAAAATGAATAAAAAATTTTAATTTTGAAGACTTTGTGCCAATTTAGAAAATATTTGTTAAAATGAATAATTTTTAGAATCATTGGAATAAACTGATTTTGTTGAAGTATTAATTATTAAGTAAATTACTAATGAGCCTAGCTAGATATAATATCTTAATTTTTTTTTTTTTTTTTTTTTTTTTTTTTTTTTTTTTTTTAGATTCTGGACCTACTGTTGCTGTTATATGTGAATATGATGCATTACCCAAAATAGGCCATGCATGTGGGCATAATTTGATTGCTGAAGCTGGCTTTGGTGCAGGTCTTGCAATTAAAGCTGCAATGGAAGCCAATCCTGATATTCCAGGAAAGGTATAAAAAATTTTTACACACTATAAGTCAAAATTTTCATCTGATATAGACCCAAAATAACATTCTTATAAGATGTTATGTAATAGTAATTGTTAAACAGGCACCTGCTACATGGTTTTATAAATTGCCAGCTGCTATGTGGAGATCTTCCCTATTTGTTTACAGTATTTTTTGGGGGGGGAGAAGTTGTTTTGGTTAATCTTTGGATTATGGTATCTTGGCGATTTTGGGAGAAAATTTGGCAACCAACCCTGCTACAGCAACCTTCTACTTTTTTTTTCGACGCCATTTTGTCTTCACGAAGTAAAGACAGGTTTTTTTTTTTTTTTTTTTTATTTACTCAACATCTTTTCCAACAATCTGCTAGCCAAATTACGCTTATGCTATAAATTTTATGGAAAAAAGTGTTATAATATGATATACGCAAAATTGGGAGAAATTGCAGACGCAAAATCCTTGCCGCGTTTTTCAGAATGGCACATATACGGTAACCATGTACACATCGAATTTTTACTTAAAAAAACATCCCAGAATTGCATAAAAAATGGCTTGCGCACACTTTTACTTTATCCATATACACTGCTCACTGCTTTTCTCATAAATTAGAAAAATTTGCACGAAAATCAAGAAAAGAAATTGAATCTTAAAGTCGGTAAAAAGGAATATAAAATTACTGATTGCGAAAAAGTATATCTTTCCAAGTGACATTGCACATATAAAATAAAAAATCCAAAAATTTTCCCTCTACTACTATTAAACATCACCTCAAATTAAAAGCAAACATTAAAATGGTTGCAATACTTACGTAATATTTAAATTTGCCAGCAGTTACTTAATGAATGTATTCCAATGCACAAAATAATTCACAAAATCACTATCATTTAATTAAAATATAATTTAATTAAAAACACTACTTAACTATAATAAAAACTACATTATTAATAAAAATTAGCTTAAATTTAATTACTTTAAACTATTCATTGCTAATACAATTTTCCAATAATAGCATATTAATTTATTATTCCTTATATTTAGAACAATGCATAAAAAAATATCCTCAAATGATTAAAAATACTAACTACCTAATCTCTTCAGAATCTCAATCCTGTTCGTATGTGCACCTGTTTCAGGATCTTTAAAATGATACTTATGGTTAACAGCAAGATGTTAAAAACCTTCATCCTCCAAACAGGCATATGACTTCCACCAATCAGATATTATTATTGTACCGGGTAGAATATACTACTTAATAAAACTTAATAAGCAATCTTTACTTCCATCTCGCACAACCTTAAAAAAACACTTATTACCACCCCTTTCAATCCCACTAAATACCCATTTTGAATTTGCTTTAGGTAGGGCCATGGGATCCTTAAATTAAACAACACTGTTTCACACAACACAGAATGAAGCTAAATACAAAATGCTATAACGTACTGCAGATATTTTTCCAGATTTCCCCCCCCCTTTTCTGATTAAAGAACTGTGATTCGTCCATATATGTCACATGACATATCTCATGATCTCTCATTTCTCTCAGACAAAGTAATCCGTAATTGGAACTGGATACTTCTCACATTATTGCCAAAGTCCTAGGTAGTAACCTTTATCGCCTACCAAAATGTCGCCAAACTGCCTGTTACCATATTCCAAAGATTAGCCGTTGTGGTTATATCAGCTTGGATTAAATAGAGCACCTTGTTTTTTTATTTGGCTATTTTCTTTCTCATCAGATTTAGGTGAACCTCCAGTATATTTTGTCCTCCTGTTGTTTATTGCATGTGGAATGTGTTAGTTTGTTCATTTTATTTTCAGCCAGTATTTCACAAGGTCAAACTCTTAAATCTTCCAAGTAAATCCTCCGTTGAATTGTTATTGGCAGTATAGATAATGTGACTGTAAATGCCAGCTATGTTAAGCACTCTAAAAAATATAATGGCCATCTTCTGCATGTGCTGGAAGTGGAGTATGTACCACATACCTCATCCATCTTGTCCACTCCCGACTTTGTGGTGTAAAATGTAATTATGTTTAGAAGCTTCTTATCTCCTGTTGGCTTGTCAATAGAGTCGACTTCTAGGTGCATTAATACATGTATATTTTTCTGAAGCACATATGATACTATTATCATAATGTCTCTAAATCTAAATTCTGAACTTTTGTTTTCACAAACTGTTTTGGCATCCTTTTTTATTTTTACACATAGTTCCCACATACATCAATTTATTTTGTACCAGTTCTACCTTAAGTGGGGTACTCAAAAACCAGTTATATCTGGGCTAGAACCTAAACGGGCTGAGCTAGCTGCATTACTATGCTATTTTGTACTCTTTGATACCACATAAGGTCCTTCAGGCTGTTGGCATACACATATTTTGAATGCCAATGAGTACCATGTTTTGACATTGGCAATACATATTTTTATGTCATACTTTGCTGGTTTACTTGGTATACACTGCCAAAATGAGCAACGTCCTCTAAAGACAACCACCTGTTCATCAATAGTCTAATATTCAGATACTGAATACGCTTTCACACAGTTATTTTGAAAACATGTAAAATTATCCCAGATAGGAGCAAAAATGAAGAATAGTGATTATACATAATACAAAATAATTTAATTTTTACAACAAATAAATGTATAAGTACCAGAAACATACACACAAAAAATTTAAAACTTGAACTGCCAGTAGGACAGGATCTGTGAACATCCCAAGTAGGTTTTACATCTAGAAGGTAAAGAATGCTATTAATCATAAGCAGTTAAAAACTTCAAAAATATATAGATCAAATTACTAGATAACATTATCAAAAGCTAATATGACACAGCAGTGTAGCTAATCTTGAAATATGAAATATTTGATAAAAATAACATGTGGAGTTAAGGCAGTAAAATATATCTTGAAAATTTTTTAATTCTTACGAATTAAATTAGTGTTTCATAACTCAAAATCATATTTGCAAAAGAAAAATGTAATTTTGTAATCTTACTTAATATGTGAAAAATTAAATTTAAGAATTAGAATGTAAGATATTAATCTCTTATTAAATAATGAATTAAAATTAATGGGCTAAATAAGAATTCAATGAAAAGCTTATTTAAAGCAACTTGGTGTAGTTTTGGGGATTTTTTAATTGAAGAGAAAAAGAATGAGGACTTACAGTTGCAAAAAGTATCTATTATATATATATTTTACATTTTAAAAAGGTAGTTATTCAAAGAAAGTGTACCAATAAATCTACTCACAAACAGGTTTTTATTCCTTTTGTTCAGGTGAAAGTTTGTTGCTAAAGTTTTAAGATCAGAAAAAAAATTGGGCTCTTTCATATTAACCTGTGGGCTATCCAAGTAGTGTGATTTAGTGCCAATAATGAATGACCACTTCCTTTAGAATTCTACAGTGACTAGTGGCAACTGTTACCAAAATTTTCACTAACAATGGGCAAAATAATGCAGAAATGTTATCTCAGTTCCTTTCCATTGCAGGCTAATCAAGTGCATATTTTAAAACAAAACCAAAAATTTTGCAGTTTATTTATAAAAATCATTAGAACAAAAATATGTATGAAAAGGGTGGTGTTGTTTATTAAAAATATCAAATAATAAAATGCACCTAGCTGCCAGATTTGTCATTTTCTGAAAATTTGGTGACTTATACTAAGAGGCTGCACTAATATGTAAGGACCTAAATTTATGTGCTATATGGTATATGCAACAAAACAAAAACAGTGTATGTTTGTATAAATAGTCATTAGAAACAGACCTTTCACTGCTTAGTGTATGGAATATACAGTGGATGGACAAAAATATGGAAACACCTTGTGAAATGCATGTTTGAAAAGAAAGATTCATTTTAATGAAATATGTAGGTGACGCTGGCATTTTTGACTACTGACGCCACCTATACAACTTTGTAAATGTGCTAAACAGTTCAGTTGTTATCGGAGTACTGTTATGTGAGGTTGTCATTGCATTATGTCAGAGTTAACAGACTTCGAACATGGACAACTTGTTGGAGCACGTATGGTAGGTGCTTCTGTAAGCAAGGTAGCCGAGGTGTTTAGTGTTTCAAGAGGTACTGTATCGGAGATTTATTCCGCATATTTGAAAAGCGGAAAAACATCATCTGCTAAATCACAGCGCGGACGAAAGTGTGTCCTGAGTGATCGTAACAGACGATCATTAAGGGCAATTGTGACAAAAAATAAGAAGACCACAGCTGCAAAAGTTACTGCTGAAATGAATGTTGTGTTACCAAACCCTGCGAGTACCAAAACAATTAGAAGGGAGCTTCATAAACAGGGAATTGCTGGCCGTGCTGCAATTGAGAAGCCACTCATCAGTGATGCTAATGCCTGTAACAGGAAAAGGTGGTGTTTAAGTCATAAAGCCTGGACTATAGAGCAGTGGAAGCGAGTAATATGGTCTGACGAGTCTTCTTTCACATTGTTTCCCACTTCTGGCCAAGTTTACGTCTGGAGAACGCCATCTCAAGCCTATAATACAAACTGCTTGTTGCCAAGAGTGAAACATGGCAGGGGTTCTGTTATGGTTTGGGCAGCCATATCATGGTTCTCTGCTAGCTCCATGATAACTGTGTCAGGGCACATGACTGCCAAGACTTATGTGAACATTTTGGCCGATCAAGTTCATCCCATGGTACAAACTTTGTTCCCCGATGATGATGGTGTCTTCCAAGACGACAAAGCTTCTATTCACACAGCTCACATTGTCCAGGACTGGTTTTTCTGAGCACGAGGATGGGTTTTCCCATCTTCCCTGGCCACCACAGTCACCAGACCTGAATATTATCGAACCCTTGTGGTCTATATTCGAACGGAAAGTGCGTTCTCGTTATCCACCGCCAACATCGTTATCTGAACTTGCCACCATTTTGCAGGAAGAATGGTATAATATTCCCTTGGCAAACATATAGGAACTGTATTTATCCATTTCGAGAAGACTGCAAGCTGTTTTGGATGCCAACGGGTTTCCTACACCATATTAAGCAAAGAAACATGTTTTTTTAAAGGTGTTTCATATTTTTGTCCAACCCTGTATATCTTGTACTCTTTTAAGTCATCAGACAGCAATTAATGAATATTAAGTCTAGTAATTTTTAATTTGTGATACGATTAGTATTTTTTGTAATTAGTTTGATTTGATTTCTAAGATGTTTAAACTTTAAAAATTTCAGTTTCCAACAGGAAGGGTTAAATTAACTATTTATCTAGCTGCTAAAAAGGCTTTCTTTACAGCAAATTTTCTAAAAGTTTGATTTGGTTTATTTGATATGAGAAAGCACATGAGGGCTATGTGCATAAGAAGAGGGATGCCTTTGTGGAGGACATTTTAAGGAAAACTGGTTACTATCCATGTTACACATGCAGAAAACCATGAAAACGCCCATGCAGCCAGCCCATCCACCAATATTTAAATCCTCATTAAACTACCAGTATTCAGCAACATTAAGAACACTACTGGTGAACTGGCTTTTTGAAAGAAATTCCTCATTTGCATGCCACACAGTATAAAAATGAAGAAGTGCTGTCTTTCTGTTAAATATTAAAAGAATTTTCTTATCAGTGTCAATGCTAGAATATTTTCTGAAATGTGATTAATGTGATGACATTTAAAGAATGTCTTGCTAACATGATGAATGGATCTTAAAAATTTTTGATTTTTTATTATATATCAGGAGAGTTCAAATGAAAAGGTACGAAATGACACTATAGATATACTGAAGCCTATTCGCAAGTAATCACCAAAGGGCTGAGTACAACTATCTCGCTGTTTACCGAGCTGAAGAATTCGCTTTTTTCAGAATTCCTGTAGCTGTGACAAGAGCCAGTCCTCCCCTGTGTTCCTCAGCTCGTTGCCTGAGTTGAAGCGCTTCCCTTTGAGATGTCGCTTCTCACCAAGTCATTCACCTTATCGATGAGTTCAGCCGTGATTACTGTTTTTACCTGACCTGGTCTCAGGTCATCACTCGAACACTCCAAGCCTTTATGAAAACTGGCACTCTACTTTCTCACTGACTTATATACAGTCTGCTCCGTATACAGCCACCATCTAGCAATGAATATAGGCCGATTTAATTTCTTCCAAAGTAAGAAATCCGATTACATCTAGCTGCGCATCAATCGTTGAATTTTGCTATGTAAATGCTAAGATGCCATCACACACTGCTGCATCAGTTGGATGGAAAACACAACTGCCTGCTTCACTCCGGCATCATGAGCGGGCACTTGAACATGCATACAACCACATCAGACAGTCCATTTGCGACCTTAGATGTCTGATGACGTTAGAGCAGCATATTCAAATTTCAACCGGTTTGGTTGTTAAAACATTTCATATATTTTCATTTGAACAAATACCCCTTATATTTAATATTTTACTGTTTCTTGATGAGAAGGATCTTTGTAAGCTAAATTGTATTCATTCTGCTAGTATAACAATTTTAGTGCTATTAGCAGTGAATGAAATTTTACATATTATAGTTGTGTATATTCAAGTAGAAATTAAAATATTATATTAGTATGAAGTATTACAGTCAAAAGTCGTTAATCCCGACTCGTCGGGACTTCGGCGATTCCGGATTATAGATCATCAGTTTAAATCTCGTAAGATGGCATGCAGAAATTCTAAAATTAAAAATATGAAACCGTAATTTATGAAATAAAGAACAATTATGATCTAAAGGGTATCAAAATTTACAAAAAAAAAAAAAAAAAAATATTTATTTGTTTACTTTATTAAACATTTCTTTCAATGTAAGTTGTTTAAATTGCTTCGTTTTATGTGATAATACTTTCTCTTTAATTCTATAAACAGACATAATTTCTTGTTCAGTTACAAAGTTCCGCTGTTCAAGTCCCGTTAATTGCTGTGCCGAGAATACCGACTAACTTGTCAATCAAAATTCTTTCGTTTTCACTAACCTCTCTGTCACATTCTTCATGTCTTTATCCAATTTTGCAGCAATTCCACTTTTTGTTTGTTGGACATCGAAACATACTTTCGTTTTGTAGATCCTTTGGAAGTTCCAGCATCTGAAATTCTGTTTGACATAATCGAAAGTTCAAGTTTACTTTTATAAAATTGCTCTTACAGTCTGCAAAAAATAATAAGCGGGATCCAATTCGAAGTTTAAGGAAGAACGCAATCATTAACATTAACTGAAATAGATAATTAGATAATTTTAGCTTACACCGTCCGTTATACATTAAACGTGCAGGCGAAAACGTATTCTGCACTTGCGCACACACATATGCGTAGTCAAGGTCTAACGCGCACGCGTAAAATGCCTGTGCGCATGTGCCAACGCGGCGCATGCGCAGAAAGTTTTTAGCTTTGAGGTCCGGATTATAGATCATTCCAGATTATGGGTGTCCGAATTAACGACTTTTGACTGTATATGATTGATTGTTGCAAATATAAATATATATTTAAAAATATAAATAACAGCAGTACATTGATATTATCTGCTGCCAGGTTCTTCAGTTGATGCTAAGATATGTAGTTTCTAATTCTACTTATCTGAACATCATCTGAACTACTTCAGTTTTGAGAAAAAGAGAGAACTGTGGGTGATAAATCTAATTGTCTGTCGCCCTTCTTTTACTGCCAACCTCTTGAGAGAACTTTCAGTTTGACAGTAAAGTCATGCCTCCAAGGTACTATGCACATAAAAACATCCATGCCGTCTCTGAGATTTGAGTCTGGGTCTAGCTGGCATTCCTACCACCATGTTAACACATAATGATGCTACAGTTAAGTGATAACTTGCCAATATAAGTCTCCTTCTCTGTTGTAATCTGATTCTGAATCTTTGCCATTTCGCATGCTTGGCCATCTGTTATCAGTTTCAGTGGCGTAGCGAGGGGGGGCAAGTAGGTGTATGATCTCGCAGAGGGGCGCCAAATGGTCTTCAAACAAGATTTTCATCATATCACTGTTTTTTTTTTTTTTTTTCTTTTCCCAGGGAAGGGGGCTGCCAAAAGGTATTTTGTCTTGGGCGCAAGTTATGCTCACTACTCCACTAATCAGTTTAATGTATTCTAATTTTTATTATAAGAACTAAACATTTCTTAAATTGCATCAGGAGCTGAGCATGACAGGTAAAGTTATCATAGTTTTGGAATAACTGAAAAGTTTGCAGTACCAAATAGAGGGAGAACCAAAGCTCTAGATCCCAGGAAAGGCTACTTTTGTGTCAACTGAAGTTCTTATTCACAGATAATACCGTAATTCCCAAAAACTTTCTTGTTTCCAAATTTAAATGCACTACCTTGCTTAAACAAATATAATTTTCAAAAGAAAAATTGGTAATGTAACAAATATATATACTTACAGGGTAATCCAATAAGAAAAATTGTGCCAGGTAATTCTTCCATGTTCTCATTTAAGATCTTTTACTGCTTGAATCTGATATACATCTAAAAAGTGAATTTCTGGAGTTTAGAAAAAAAAGTATTCTCCATGGTTTTTTGAAAGCATTAAATATTCTTGTATTCTGCTTTAATAAATATCATAAACTTCTGAGGCAGTTTAATTATTTAAGTCTCTGTGTTTGATTTAATAACTGTAATTCTTTCAGGTTGTAGTGCTTGGTACACCAGCAGAGGAAGGTGGTGGTGGCAAAAAAACTCTCATTGAAAAAGGTGCATTTAAAGATATCGATATAGCATTAATGGTTCATCCCAGCCCAGATAATCATCTTTACCCACCATTCATTGGCATTCAGAGGGTATGTTTTATTGTTTGGAGTTTTAAATTTATTATATAAAGGCCAAAATAATAATAATAATATATAAGAAGTAATTTATCAACAAATTTTCAAGCACAATTGCAGAAATTTCCACAGTCTGAGAATGAAGATGAAAAAAAATATCCTGATTATTTTAAAGATGTATTAAGTCTGTATTAAGTAAGTTTAAAGATGTATTAAAACTGTTTCTTTTTTCTTTTGTTTGCTTAATTTCTTTTATACATCGTTTTAGATTTATTATAGTATTTGAATAGAACATGTGGCAACAATAAGATAATTCTTAAGATGATATAAATTTTGTGCATTCTGAGTTAAAAAATCAATGAAATGTAACACTGAAGTGAACCTAGGGCCAGAGTGACGCTATGGTAAACACATATAGTGAATTTTAAAGAATGCATTTATTCTGTTGTGGCTTATGCGCTATGAAGAAGTAGATAATAGTCAATAAGTTGAAATGTGCAAGAAAAAAATGCGTATAATAGTATTCCGTAAAGCAAGTCATGTGGTGCACACATCAGATTTTTTTAATTCCTTGTACGAAGTAAAAAGGAAGTATTGTAAGCGCAAAAAGTTTCAAGCATCATATTTAAACAAAAATGTCCATTTTGACCGCTATTGAATGCAATTTAACGATGTTTTTGCGGGACATCTGTACGTATGTATCGTACATAACTCAAAAATGAATAGCCTCAGAACGTTGAAATTTTGTATGTAGGATTGCTGTAACATGTAGATGTGCTCTTTGTATTTTGGTTGCAATCAGCTTCGACAAAAGTACATAAATATAAGTATATATATGTATTAATTATATATTAAATAAGTATATACATATATATATATGCTCTGTACCAGCTCAGGATCTCAGTTTCTTTACTCTATATGTTGTAAATTGTCATTTTTGCTTTAAAAATGATTGATTATGTTGTCTTATCTTTGTTACGTTTGAGCTTTAGAAATTGCATGCATATTGTAGAATTATCAACAATTTAAAAGTTGTTTAAGTACGGCTAAGTCTAATTATTTTTGCCAAGGCGACTATATTTGTTTACATTTCAAACAGAATAGCGGCTTTGTTCCCAATCTAGAGAAGCTAAGCTCGCAACAACAAAGATAATGCCTTCTTTTATTATTTCAAATCTGCAATTTTATTATTTCAAATTGCTTAATCCATTCTGGAATTTATTCGAGAAAATAACTGTTTGAGATTTATAAAGGCCCACCAGCGGCCGAGTGAGTAGTAGTTCGGTCCGAGGTTCGGATCCCAAGAACGGGCTGGCTGCATGGCCGTTTTCATAGTTTTCCCCATGTGTAACGTGTATACGAGCCAGTTTCCGTTAGAAAGTCCTACAAGAAGCCATTCCCCCCCTCCCCCCCCCCCCCCTCCCTCGAGACTTTGCAAACACACACACACCTAGGTTTAAGATTTATTCATATTTTTTAATATATATATATTTAAGTTTATGTTATTTTGCTGGCGGGAAATGAGAACCGACTTAATGAATGAGCATATTGAATCGTCTGTGAAAATGTTTCTTTTTTTGTTGACTTAATTTCTTTAAAATGTTTTAGATTTATTATAGTATTGATAGAATTGTGCGATGATAGATTCTTCAAATGATATAAATTTGGCATTCTGGTCTGTGAAGTGTGAGTTTGAGATTCTGAGAAGTAGATTTAATTCAATCCAATAAGTTTAAATGAAATGCAAGAAAAAATGCATATTATTTAATATTTCATACAAGGAAGTCATGGTATACACATCAGATTTTTTAATTTAAATGAAAGAGTTAAAGAAATATGTGTAAAGGGATATGTAATGTTATCTGTAAATTGCTTTGTTCGTAATAATATACTTGCATTTCTTAACAGGTCATTATAAAATATACTGGTAAAGAAGCTCATGCTTCTGGTTATCCATGGGAAGGATTGAATGCTCTTGATGCTGCTGTTGCCTGTTATAATAATGTTGCACTTCTTCGACAGCATATCAAACCCACTTGCAAAATACATGGTAAGAAATTTAATAAAATATACATATATATCTTTTTCTCCTCCCCTTTTCTCAATAATATATCAGACCCATTTGTTTTTTTAATATGCTTAATAAATATTGTTAAATTTTTCTGAATGCTTGTTTAGATCTGTACTTTGGCAGGGGTGTATATATGAACTATGTTTCTAATTCAGATCTTCCTCAGTCGGAGTTTGATTATTTTCTCCTGCTATCCTTAGGAAATTGAGAAATGTAACTACTAGGCATTGCATAAGGCAGGAAAAGCTTTGGAACAGAATTTTATAATCTCGTAAAACTATCTTACTCTTTTTACCACCAATTCCTCCCTTTTATCTTCTATGTGATATTTTGTTTAGAGAAATAATTAACTAAAGAGATATTTCTATGTTTAGAAAAATCTTTACTATGTTGCTGCATAACAGAAAAGATTTATTTAATTATTCAATTTGAACACTATTAATTTCAAATGAAATACAGTACAAAGTCCAAAATCCAGATGTCCATTATCCAGAATGATATAAAATCTGGACCTCAAAGCCACAAACATTTTTTTGTGTGTGTGCTTTATGCATGCGCATTTGATTTTTCCATCCATAATAAAACATGTAGAGCTTTTCACTTAAAAATTCTGATTCATAATTTCACTTACCCACTAAATAAAGTACCTCGTTATGGAAAAGCAATCACGGAAGCATAAATTTATGAGATTAATAATTTGGCTCTGTAGCTGAGTATCTGCTTGACATACATCTCAAACTGAAACATTCACCTATTTTACATCCCCGTCGCGGCAGTCATTATTTATTATATTTTGCTTTCATCATCACATGTTTATCAATACATGACAGCTTCAATAATAACTCAGGCAGTGATGTCTAAACTTTTTTTTATATTAGGAATTGAATAACAAGAGTATGGCAACTTTTTATGCTAACATTACGCATGGCTATGATTATAAATTTTTAAATGCTGTAAGAAATGTTGATGAGGAAAAATTCAACAAAAATTTTTCATATGCTAAAAAGATTTTGTTAATGAAACTATAGGCCAAAAGATTAATTTAGTGCTATTTTAATTAAGAATAACTGATATGTTATTCACCATAAACCCAGAAGCAGCGGCAGAATATGTTGGCACCGGACGGCAGAATTTAGGGAAGACAGAATTTTTGGAATTTGGGGAAGCACCGAGTGGCTAAATTAAGGAATGAGAAGTTTTTATGATTTAAGGAAAGCACTGGGATCCAAAGTTTAGAACTTAGGAAAACGCTTTGTAGCAGAATTTAGGACCCATAGAGACTGCACCAGGCGGTATCTAGCGGCCTGCCCTAGATAAAGTCTTAAGTCTATGTGGGAGTTTATTTATTCAGGACTCATTAGTTTTAAGCATGTACAAGAAGTAAACGTAGGTATAGTAAATAACTAATACAATTCAGGCTTAATTCAGTACACAGTAGGAGCAAGACAAAATTTAGCGAAACAACTTGGCTTTTATCGCCAATCGTGTGATACACAGCCAGTAATGTATAATGGATGCTATTAAGCTAGGCTAAAATTTTCTTTACTAATTCTAAAGTATTTCAGTTAATGTAACAAGCTACGCTGCTCCCTAATCTTCTAATTTGATCCAGCTCATTATTTTTTGCAGACTGTTATTATTACGCCAATTTTAAAAAAACTAAGCTTGAACTTTCGATTATGTCGGAAAGAGTTTCCAATTTTAGAGCTGCCAAAGGATCTACAATCCGTCTCAAAATTATGCGAGGAGTATGGCATTAGAAAGTCAACTGTATATGACATAAGAAACATGAACTTTTTGAATTTTTTGTGGAAGCAACTTAAACAACTTACATTGAAAGAAATGTTTAAAAATGTAAACAAATAAATATTAAGCTGTTTTGTAAATTTTGATACCCTTTAGATTAATTGTTCTTTTTTCATAAATTATGATTTCATATTTTTAATTGTATAAGTTATGCATGCCATCTTACCAGACTTAAATTGATGATCTAATATCTGGAAAAATAAGGAATTGCCAAAGTCGCAACGAGTCCGGATTTTGGACTTTGTGCTGTACTTAATGCATTTTGAGAGATGAACAGTATAATTCCTGTTTTTTAAAAGAATTTCGTATGTCCCACAACATAATACTTTGATATATTTATTTAGGGAAAAGCTTATTAGATAACACAGCTGATTAAAAATTCAATTTTTTTTTGTAATTTAATACATATTGAATATCAAAAAATATGATTAGTTTAAGACATATTAACTTTCTTAAGGTTTTGGTTAAGAAATACTTTCCTTATATTTATTAGCATTTGAGAGAAATGACGTAAAAGAATTAACAAAGAAAAGTCCAATTGCCAAGGATATAAGTATCTTATCATATGAAAAACTGGTTAAAAGAAGGCTGCTAATAATCTGTCCTGATATTTGCCTTTTATAATAAGATGTTTGAAAAAGATGGCCACATGCTTTTATACCTTAAATATATACAATAATATGAGAATGTTAATTTCTGCCTATAATATAAAAATCAAACTGAATAATGAAGATTAAAATCACGTGTTTGGAAGTGTTTGTTATTAGCGGGGGGGGGCGTTAACCTAGGAGGCTATTAGTCTCAAAACAGCAGTGTCGAATCACTGAAATCGTTGAATGACTGTGGCCACCAAATATTATCACCCTAAATTACGTTTAAAGAAATTAAATACTAAAGAATCTGCAAGAATTATGCAAGTCTCTCACATTGTGAAACAAGAACGGTTCCTAGAGCCACCCAATTTTGAATAACGTAGTCCTCCATCCGAGTATGGGCACCTGGAAGCCCGAATTTTTATTTGTTTTATTATCTATTTCATATTTTGTAAAACTTTAATGAATTTTTCATTAGCAAACTCGACGATTTGAAAGTGAGCAGTAGCAACATTGTATGGAATAAAGCATTTTTATCTCCAGCATACGAGAATGTCTATCGGAAATTCTAAAGGTTTGTTGCTCTTAATAGTTTTAGCCCCCAAATGCTCTCAAAATGTATATGTGTGTGTAAATGAAAAAAATTACCCTTTGGACATAATATATAATATCTGAAAGCTTTTATTCCCCCCTTAAATTTTGCTGAAGTTTTCTTGAATGGCCTACCAACTTCGTAAGTTAGGCTTCCTGTTTTGCCTTTTCTTTTTCTCACCTCTTTTGTGATCTGCTTCCTTTATTTTTCATGCAGGATTCATCTCTTAATGATTAAAACTCACCTGCAGATGAATCCAACATGAAGGACAAAGACAGGAAAGCAGAAATGATGAGGGGAATGAAGAAAGGGTGAAACCGTATTTATATTTCATTTAACAAAGTGAATAGGTCATCCTTAAAAAGTTCTCACAGAATTATATAAATTAAAATTGTTGAGTTTATATATTGAAAACTTGGGCATTTCAGGGCAACAGAGTTAATTTAATTTTTTGAACAATCAAAGCATTTTCTTGTATTTTTCTATTTTAGAGATTATTAAGAACTTATTTGTCTTTAATTCTGATATTCTTCTTAGGATATGCAAGACAAAATTTAATTTTGTAATAGGTCTTAAAAATCTTTCTTTTAACATGGTTATTGACCGTAGCTTTAATACTCTCTTCTTTTATGTTACTTCTGGCTTACATTTTGGCTCCTCTGTATAGCAAAATATGTTGATCATTTGTCAGAAATTGTTGAAATGTACATTTTGTTATTTTTTGTTATCCATCAATGGCATGTTTTTTTTTTTTTTTTTTTTTTTTTTTTTGTGTTGTCTAATTTCCTATACAAAAATAATGTAAAAAATCAGTTACTTGTTTATTAATATGTAACTATGAGCTCATTGCCAAAAATATCATGACTGCAATTTCTGCAAATATTGAGTAATTTTAGAAGTTTTTTTTTTAATTCTTCCAGAGAACAAGATTTTTTTGTACTTGTTAAATGTTCTCTCTCCTCTGTTCCCATTTTTATAATTTCAATATCAACTTTAATCTAATTAGAGAAAGATTTATATTCTCAAACCATTATGTTTTATGGTAACGTTTTGACACAAAAGATTTAAGTGAATGTAAAATAACATCTCTTTTGGCACATATATTGGTGCATATATTTTTTATTCTTGTTTATCTGGTACAAAATATGGTATTTTCTTGTTTTGAATCCAGCACTCCAGCAAGTCACCGATTATTTGCGACTACTTTTTCACCTACCTAACATATGAACAGTGGGCATTTTAAGAATGTGGCTGTATGTTGAAAATTATATAAAACAGCAATGAATTAAAAAAAATTTAAATGCAAGAAATACCCATAATAAAACAGGAAAAATTATATAAAATATACATCCATAATGAAATGCTCAAAATTTCATAAAGAAGTAACAAATTAGCTAAATTAAAAATGCAACAAACATCTACAATAAGTTACTTAACTTTCTGTTTTCTTAGTCAGTGTGTATAGTGGCCCGTTTTAAATTAGGAAAGAAATCAGATAATTGCAGAATTTTCAACATTGCAAAGCAAACTGGCACTGCTCTATATGTGCATACCCAACTGTTTCAACTTACTCTTTGTTGGGTAATCTTCAATAGTACATTTTGATACAATTCGATTGTTTGCTTCATGGAAATTGCAGAATGGCACCTGTTAAGGTGCATAATAATGTGTGTAATGGCACTGTGTGTGCACAATTATTAGTGGACTGCTAGATAAAGTACATGCTCATTATATATTTGGGGATATATCACTTTGGTCAGTGATTCTTCTCACTGCCAGGAAAACAATGCAAAAGTACCCTAAATTAAAAAAGTTTGAAAACTCCTGATTTAGTGCAAATTCTTGTCTGCATTGCACCATTTCTTTTGATAAGCTTATCCCAGTGAAAAGTCCTCAAGATAATTTTTATTCATTTTGTATTAATTTTTTCTGCATTTAACATCATGCATTTATTAGATTTGCTATGAAATGAAGCAGAAGCAATTCATTACTTCCAGGCATGTTTTTGTCAAAAGAATCATGAGTGTTGCAATTCTTACACATTGAAACTATGCATTGTGAAAAATATATGAATCGAATGTAATATCAGCAACAGCCAATGAACTGGTTCTAGAGAAGTCACTTGCCTTCTTATTTAGCAGAGTTCGTATGGAGGTAAGGACGAGCTTGGGATTTGAGAAGAATAGTAATCTGATGAGAAGTGCCAAACGATGCTTCTGGGAATCAGAAAATGTGTTTCATCAATCTGCTAACATCAAAAATATATTTATCACCAGCAGGCATCGACAGGTTGTTGCTAGTGTATGCAGCAGGTATTGGTAAATAATATATATGCAAAAACTTTTTCCCTTGTTTATTCACTTGGGAAATATTATAAATGGACTCAAATTCTTGTTCAGTGATTAGTGCTATGCAAGATTAATGGAAAATAATATATTGCATGTGCAGGAATTTCGCATGAATGTGCAGAATGGCTGAATATTGTTTATCTGTTTCCGAGTTATCTCATATTTGGCACAGGGAGCAAAATTGTTATTTTGTATTCCAGTTACAAGTATATTCATGTGAATTTATTTACTGATAAAAGTAATCTCTAATATCTGTGTTTAAATTGTAAAACAGTTAAAAAATAAAGCATAAAATTCCAGATAGGATCTTGGAGCATATGAACAGATGCACCATATCAGTTTGGCAGCATATATTTAAAATATGTGTATGATAAAAATGAATAAAAAATTGGATATAAGCCCATAAAGACAAGAGCAAAAATGAAAAAGTGGATAAGGAAGCAAGAAAGTAACTCGGACAAGATAGATTTTAAAGTGCCACTCTGTGAAGAAATGATCAAACATAGACAGTTTCAGCTTAACCCGAAATCAGAAAGATCAGACTTCAAATTTTATATTATTTTATAATGTGCATTTGCTTACCTATTTTTCTTTAAATGTTGTATTTGTGCTTACTTTGTTTTTCTCAACATCTGGGCTAAGACAAGAACTGTAATGTGTAACACAGTGTGAAGTATTATGCTGTACTTAGTTATTTATAACTAAAAATGAATTTATATTTTAAGCTACATGTTTAGAAAAACTTTCATTCTATGGAAATGTAATGAATATTAAATATTATTATTTACAAAACTGGAAAGATGATTAATCTTAATTGAGATTTTCTACAGATATTTATAACTCTAAATATATTTTGCAGGTGTCATTACAAAAGGTGGAGAAGCTCCCAACATCATTCCTGGTCACACTGAAGTACAATTTTATTATAGGGCCCATTCAAGTAAAGAAATGGAAAATCTGAAAAAAAGACTCGAAGCTTGTTTTAAAAGTGCAGCACTAGCCACTGGGTGTGAAATTTCTATTACTTATGATGATTCTAATGCGTATGAGAGTCTCATAACAAATAGAGTTCTTGCTGAGTTATATAAAAAATATGCTACAGCTTTAGGTAAGTGACATTTCAAATTTTATGTTGGTATTTAAATATAATTTCTTGACTTTAATATCGGTACTTGGTTATTGATAATTTAATATGCTGATTAAATTATACTCTTCAGAATTTTACAATTTTCGTCAATAATACATTATTGTGTGTAATTTGCAGTTCCTGATGAAATCTATGTTATCAGTTATTTGATTTCTAACTATTTGATTTTCTAATTTTAGTGCTACACTTCTAAAATTCTGATTTCTAGGAAACATATTTTTTAACATGCCACAATTGCAATGGGTTTTTACATACTTTTAGGAAAATTTTGATAAAGAATTTTAAAAAAATGCTTTTGAATAAAAATTTCTGGCAACAGCTTATTATTTGAAATGAGAAATATCATCTGCTACTCTTAAATTTATTTTTCTTTTAAAATGTCTGATGTAAACAAGTTGTGGTTTGAAGAATATGTTTTATGCTTTCTGAGAAGAAATATTCCTGTCTCATAGTTAAAAAACACTGCAAAATGCATAGCATTAAATTTTCAAAGTGCGAAATAAACAACATTATTAATTGGAAAGGAAATAACTGTCAGTCATTACTTCTACAAATAAAGAAGACTCCAAATGAATACCCAAAAAAGGTATACTTTGTTTCTAATGTTACATCGTTGGTAGCAAGAGAAAATTCACCAATGCAGAAATCAGTTGCAAAGTCATTAACCGCTTAATGGCTGAATTTATATTAAAAATTATGCCAAAAATCCCTGAATTTTTTTCACTAGATGTAGCTTTGTAAGGTGCAAAAAGAAACGATTTTTTCGAGGGAAAACGCAAGCTATTTATTATGGTTCGTGACATTATCCGAATTAACTGAGGCTTCATTGAAGCAGCCAAAAAAGAAACACAATCTAGCCAAAAGTAATACAAATCTGTTGTCAAGGTAATAATCTGTACATATAATAAAAGAAAGAATATGCTAATATACCCAGGACTACGAAATTTGGTATATAGGTGCATATAGACAAGAGCCAGTGCACCTTGAAGCAATTTTTTTTTTTTTTTTTTTTCAAAATTTGAATCGGATTTTTTTTTTATCACATCATTTTGAACAGTTTCATTCTTTTAGAAATGGGGTTTTGGCAACAGTTTTTCATTCAGTTGTATACTGGACTGCTGACTGGCTTATTCACAAAGCCTACAGACCGTTTCTTCTGCTGTTTGCTCCGATTGGTTAAAAGAGGTAGGGTTACAGAATTTGGTGCTTGGCGACTTTTGGTTCATCGCCTTTACAATTTGTATGTGAGCGTCGTGTACCAAAAAGTGAGCATAGCCCACCGGAGAAGCCGCAGTCCAGTGGTAACGAGCGCGAGAATAATTCTCAGACTTCTAAGTCACCGGTTCTATTCCCCACTCGTAACTTTCATAAATTCTGCTTTATACGGATTTATTTTTATTTTAACTTTATTGAATGAATTTGTCATTATTTGTCTTTTCGCCTTCGGGAACGGTGTTAAAAATTAAACGCCTTTATTTTCTCTATTTTTGTTAATGTTCATTTTTCTTATTTTTATTTAATGGTTTGTACTCTTTGTAGTAGGTACCAGTAACCAAGATTACGATCCAAGATCCTGAAAAGCGTTTCAATAGATATAGCGCATAATGGAATAAAATATAATTTTAGTTATACTTACTCGTAAAAAGAATAGGTATCAGACACCCTTAAATGTTTACTGAATGTTTTCATTAGGTTAATTTTTTAGTATTCCTTTATTTGTATAAATTAATGCGCTATGGAAAATTTACACAATAGACTCTTTCCTAACAGAAAGGACGAAAACGTGCATATGCTATCTCGATGTAAACACCTTTTTCTTATAAAACAATTACGTACTTTTAAAAGCTTAAATTCTAAATACAAATAAACTATTAATAAGTAGATTAGTATTAATCAGTAGATTATTTAAGATTTAATCCACACAATTCCTCTAAGCTTTCATTCATAAACTAAAAAAATATTGAATGAAATAAACGCTGTTTCCGTTTGTTTGCTGTTAATTACCACACTTACAGGGTGATAACTCGCCATTCCAAATATGACCGCCAAGCAGATGTTTCCTCCAATGAGAGCAGTCGTAGCGAAATTGTCTGTAGGCTTTGTGAATATGCTGCTGACTGTTGAAAATCAGTACTGTTGCCACTTGGAAAAAGAGGGCGATAATTGTGTAGTTTCTAAATTTAATGTTTCTCTTGGGTACTGAACGTTTGCTGAGAGAAGGCAACGGGATGTTGGTTAATTTATTTATTAGGATAATTAATATTTGTAAGGGATATTGCTTATTTCAATGTAATTTTGTTATATGTAATACTTTAAATTTTTTTTTTTTTTTTTTTTTTTTTTTTTTTTTGTTCTGCGCAGTTTTTTAATTTAACTTTTGGTGTTTCCTTCAGGCATTTTTTTAAACATGATGTGACACATAGCGGCACATTATGGTGTGCAACAGCGTTCTGATAATCAAACTGAATTTACAATTTACATTTATAGTGCAGCCACGTCGCCGACTGCAGCTAAGAGTCATGGAGAAACTAATCACAAAAGCCACTTCATTGAGAAAGTCATGGAGAAACTAATCACAAATTCCCACAGCTAAGAAAACACGTGCATGGCAGAGTATTGATGAACCAAACACAAAAGCCGCTTCCCACAGCTAAGAAAACATGTATAATAGAGTGTTGATTGCCATGCAACTTGTTAGTACAGTCAAAAGTCTTTAATCTGGACTCGTCAGGACTTCAACGATTCCGGATTATCGGTTTTTCCGGATTATAGATCATCAGTTTAAATCTAGTAAGACGGCATGCAGAAATTTTAAAATTAAAAATATAAAACTGTAATTTATGAAATAAAGAGTAATTATGATCTAAAGGGTATCAAAATTTACAAAAAAAAAAGCTTAATACAGTCAAAAGTCGTTAATCCGGACTCGTCGGGACTTCGGTGATTCTGGATTATCTATTTTTCTGGATTATAGATCATCAGTTTAAATCTGGTGAGATGGCATGCAGAAATTTTAAAATTAAAAATATGAAACCGTAATTTATGAAATAAAGAACAATTATGATCTAAAGAATATCAAAATTTACAAAAAAAAAAAAAAAAAGCTTAATATTTATTTGTTTACTTTATTAAACATTTCTTTCAATGTAAGTTGTTTAAGTTGCTTCCTTTTATGTGATAATACTTTCTCTTTAATTCTATAAACAGACATAATTTCTTGTTCAGTTACAAAGTTCCGCTGTTCACGTCCCGTTAATTGCTGTGCCGAGAATACCGACTAACTTGTCAATCGAAATTTTTTCGTTTTCACTAACCTCTCTGTCACATTCTTCATGTCTTTATCCATTTTTTGCAGCAATTCCACTTTTTGTTTGTTGAACATCGAAACATACTTTCGTTTTGTAGATCCTTTGGAAGTTCCAGCATAGGAAATTTTATTTGACATAATCGAAAGTTCAAGTTTACTTTTATAAAATTGCTCTTACAGTCTGCAAAAAATAATAAGCGGGATCCAATTCAAAGATTAAGGAATAACGCAATCATTAACATTAACTGAAATAGATAATTAGATAATTTTAGCTTACACCGTTCGTTATACATTAAACGCGCAGACGAAAACGTATTCTGCACTTGCGCACACGCATGTGCGCAGTAGTCAAGATCTTACGCGCACGCGTAAAACGCTTGTGCGCATGTCCCAATGCGGTGCATGCGCAGAAAGTTTTTAGCTTTGAGATCTGGATTATAGATCATTCCGGATTATGGGTGTCCGAATTAACGACTTTTGACTGTATTTATTTGTTTACTTTATTAAACATTTCTTTCAACGTGCACATGCGTAAAGCATACATTATGCATAGTCGAAATTAGAAAATTGCAACTAGAAAACTATTTGATGTGTATTCGTGATATTTATAATGATGAAGAATTTGATTTAAGTCATATCAAAGACAGAGTACATCGAGATGAAATACTACATTTAGTAAGGAATTATAAGCTGAATAAAATAAAAACTTCTGCCCTGAAAATAAGGATAGTTCTGACAGATCAACTTCCAGTTCATTGCGCGCCGCGACTGTAGTTAACTTGTTTGTACAAAAATTGAAATGGCATCTATTCCCGAAATATCTCAAGCGTGGTCATTAAGGTGTGAAATACATCTGTAATGACAATAAATAAAATAATAAATCAAGATTACAACTTAAAAAGCTAAAAAACAATGGTCACTAGCTTTTGTCAAGGCATATGACACAACACAGAACAATATGTGGAACCAACCCTGCATGAAAACTATTCAGCAGGAGGTAAATTGAAATACATGGTGACTTTTGATGAAGGATGTTAAAATTGATGTTAAAATTACCTCAACATACTATTGAGAGAAAGTTTTAAGTTCGATATTTACAAAAGGAATTTCATTTCTTATCCCAATCACTTTCAAAGAGTGAAACTTCATCAAGACAAAGCCACAAGTCACACTTCAAAAAGTTCCACCACTGCATTCGCAAAAAATGAAGGCTGTTACAAGTATTGCATATATATATATTAAACATATTCCTGTGAAGTCCCCTGATATTTCACCTGGGGACTGCTGTGCCTTTGGTCTCTTGTAAAGATATCTTTTTAAGTGCATCTGATGGACTCTGGAAAGTATTGAAGAAGAATGGTAATCAATATCCCCAGGAAATTTTATGAAAAGCCCCTCTGTCATAGAAATCACTATGCGGACTTAAAGTCTAGGAAAAATGTTATCAGATCAAACATTTAAAAAAGTACTCTTTACATTTTAAATATTATTAAGCAGCCCTTAAAATCATTCTAAAGATATATAAGCACCCTCTTTCATATCACTGTACAAAAGAAAATATTTTATAAACAAAAATTGACATCCCAAATGGAAGCATTTCTTAGGTCTAGTTCATAAAGTTTTATACAACATTTATTACCTTTTTATAATAGATTAAGTTTG